AGTGATATTTCTTGTATTTTCTTCTGTTTGTAGAGACAACGATGGCCGTTTGAGTTCCATGGGCTCCTTCCGTTCCATCCAAAATGCTGGATACAGGCAACTGCGAGCCGTGTGACGACACGACACTTCTGCTGCCATTCATTCTTCCAGTCTCCCACCAACATTCAACCTTTCCCTCATCTTTCTTTCCAAGTACTGCCTCTCAGCAGTACGTCCACTCGTTAATCACTGACCCGTCACGCACACGCATTCTTGCTCTCAACGCCAACTCCCACCCGAAGATGCTGCTCTCCATCTTCATCGCCTTCTTGCTCGGCCTTGTCTCCGCCATTCCGACCATCTCTACCAAAGGCTCCAAGTTCTTCACCAGCGATGGCAACCAGTTCTTCCTCAAGGGTATCTTGTCTTGGTCCTTCCCAATTTCCATCACCACAACAGGCTAACACGCACCACAGGCGTCGCCTACCAGCTCCTACCAGAGGACCCGCTTGTCGACAACACCCAATGCACGCTCGACGCCAACCTGATGAAGACCCTTGGTGCCAATTCCATCCGCGTATACCACGTCGATCCTCAAGCCGAGCATGACGACTGCATGAAGACTTTTGCCGACGCCGGCATCTACATCTGGCTTGATCTGGACACATTCGACTCGTACATCCAAGGACCGGGTATGGCCGCACCTCAGTGGAATGAGAGTCAGTACAAGGCCTACCAGGGAGTTATGGATGCTTTCCACAATTACGAGAACCTGGGTGGGTTCTTCGTTGGTAACGAGGTTCTGACCTCGCCGGACACCGATGTTGCTGCGCCGTTTGTGAAAGCTGCCGCTCGTGACATGAAGGCGTACCGTGATGGTGAGTGGCAAATCTGGAACTTGCTGCATCAACATGGCTAACAATCCTCAGAGAAAAACTACCGCAAGATCCCGGTCGGCTACACTGCAGCAGATGTCGCCACTCTCCGCCCGATGCTGCAGAACTACCTCGCTTGTGGCGAAGACACCTCGGACGCCGTCGACTTCTACGGCCTCAATGCTTACGAGTGGTATGCTGCAAAACATCCAACGCACTTGCGTCATCACCACTAACATCAAACAGGTGTGGCGAAGCGACATACGACACCTCCGGCTACGTCTTCCTCCAGATGAACGCATCAGACTACAACATCCCAATCTTCTTCTCCGAGACCGGCTGCATAGTCGAGCCGCCCCGAACCTTCGACGACCAAGCGGCGATCTTCGGCGACAAGATGGTCGACACCTGGTCCGGCGCCATCATCTACGAATGGATCCAGGAAACGAACATGTACGGCCTTGTCACCTACGATCTCGGCGGAGACTCTGCAACCGCTGCCAGCGGCGCCGACGCACAGTACGGCCGGAGCGGCACACCAAAGCCTATCAACCCGGACTTTGAGAATCTAAGCCAGCACTGGGCTACACTGTCTCCGACTGGAGTCCGCGCGGATGACTACAAACCTTCGCTCACTCCGCCGCCGTGTCCGGACTTCACCAGTGGCGCTTGGGCTGTCTCGCCAGATGCGCAGCTGCCGACGATTGGCTTCAAGGCTGAGTCGGGTTCCGATTCGTCCAGCGTTTCCGCTACCTCGACCGCTACCGCCACTGCTACTGGCAAGGCTCAACCGGAAGAGAGTGGTGACGCTACCGCTGTTGACGCTGAGAGCGGTTCGACTGCTAGCGACGGCGCTGAGGCTAGCCCGACCAGCGGTGCATCTCTGCGCGCCGAGTCGTCCTTGTTCCCTGGATTGCTGCTTGGATTCGCGGGCTTTGTTTGGGTGTCTGCTGCACTCATGGCTGGCCTCTTGATCGTCATGTGAGCGGGATCATTGTGATAATAGGAGAGATGCAAAAGATGGAGGATGCGGTATGAACACTGTGGCAAATGAGCGAGATGAGTTCGAAGAGCTAATAGCAAGATGATGCCGTGTTACGAGAGAAATAAAAATGCAATTTCTTCATCCGAGTCCCAATCGCTTGATCTTGCTCGAAGCTTCAGGGCTAGGTTTTTTCCAATCTAGCCCAGGCCAAACGCGCATTGATTCCTTCCACTAACGTATCCATTCGACAAAAGAACGTCATTGACAAAGAACGATCAGACTCAGATCTCATCCACACTACACGGACACTTCCTTCGTCGAACGAAAACATAATTAAAAAAAAAATCCTGCCATGTCGGCTCCCTCTCCTCTTGGAAGAAACCACCCTCTCAGTACTGGCGTGATCTGTCATCATCCGGGGGCATTGCCTCGTCGTCCGCAACACCCGTTGTTCTAGAGGCTGTTGGATGCAAGTGCAGGCTCCCGTCACACCATCCTCACGCAGCTTTGTCACCAGTCTCCTAGCTAGCTGACCTCGAGAACTGACGATCGTGTTAGAAGCAATTCGCGGGCTACGAGTCGAGTACTGTTCTTACTATTTCTGGGGCAACGAAGTCAAAGGACCCGTTTTTCTCACGCTGTGTCGTTTGGAATTGGGCCTGCTCGCGAGCCCGCGCGCTGCGGACGGGTCCAGTAGAGTTGGATTGCTGTCATGATGAGCATGATCAGGGCCATGATGAAGGCGATTGGGTCGAAGTTAAGTGGAATTGGAGACATGGTTGATTGGTTGAAGGGTTAGGCTTGTTTTGATGCTGGTGGACTGCGAAGGTAAAGAGCGCGTTTTGGCTGTGGGATTGCTTCATTTTTGTACATGGATTCTATGGAGAAAGGTAGGTATGGATGGCATTGTTGGGGAATAGGAGAGTCTGGAGAGTCAGGGAGTGAGAGAGTTGGGGAGTTAGGGAGTAGGTGAGTAGGTGAGGGAGCGAGCGAGCAAGAGACCTGGAGGATTGGACGGGTGAAGGAGTTGGTGAGTTGGTGAGTGAGTATGGAAATGTGGGCGGAGGTAGGAGGGAGATCGATGCGGCTGAGGCTGTAAACGAGCACTGTATGTGGGAGATTTCGCTGTACCTAAGGCTAGGCTGTCACACGATGGCGTTTGCGGCTCTTCGGCTTCTCAGCGATCGCGTTTCGCGGTTATTAGGGCC